AGTGCTCGTCAGAAGCACACCCGTGAAAACCAGGCATGTTTTCGGCCCTGTCGATCATGCATTGTTTATATTATCACCCTGTGGTACGTCTTGAATATAGGCATTATCACCGTCCAGCAATTTACATATTTTTTGAATGTGGCGATCATTTCTTATACAGAGACAAAAAGACATGAGTTTCATCTGACAGACACACTGAAACTCACATAGACCTCATCTCACTCTGAAGAAGGTGGAGACGAAGTCTGATGTACACAAACACGAGAAGGTAAGCAGATGTGGGTTGAGACCGTTATCTAGTGCAAGGATCCTTCAAGGTAAAGCTGAAAGCCTTCAAAGATGCTGGAGGCAGACCAATAACACACAGAAACACACTCAGAAACTGTAGAATGAAACTACAAAAGACATCTTCGATACAGCCATCAGAACAAAGCAGGAAGTATTCAGTAGTATTACCGAGGAAATCAGTGCGGAAAAACTAGTTGAAGGTGATGTGTACAACCATTATAGGGAGACGGGAGAGGTAAGAAAGGGAATGGTTCTATAAAGAAACCTGCAAACTGACAAAGGAGACGGATATGGTGAAACGGAAGGTCAACCACTAATAAGATAGACAACAAAAGGAGAAACTGAGTTGAATGTACAACGCACTGAATAAAGAAGTGAAGAAGAGTGCAAAGGAAGACAAAAGACAATTATTCAACACACTGGAAACTGCAGAAGAACAGGCTGCAGGTAGAAGAGACCTCAGGACATTATATCAGATAACCGGGTCTCTCTCTGGGAAGAGGTCAACACAGATGGAACCAATGAAAGATGTTCAAGGGAAGCTAATTACCAGAGAGGAGGACGGACAATGAAAACAATGAGCTGATCACTTTAAACGACTCCTTAACCGATCACCACTTACAACTTGCCCACAAATACCACCAACAGCATGCACACAACTGCCTGCCAGTGGAAAAAATCCTTTTACAAAAACAAAAGCCTTGGATGGAATCAAGCTACCGAAAGCCAATCGGGAAGGCAGCTGGATCAAACAGAATTCCTCTGTAAGCACTGGAAACTGAATCTGAAACAGCAACGGATATGTTCACGCCACTATTGCGAAACGTTTGGAAGGAAAGCAATTTACCTACTGATTGGAAGAAAGGCTACCTTGTCAAGCTACCAAAGAACGGCGACTCAGGACTCTACAAGAACTGACACGGAATCATGCTCTTCTCCATGCCAAGTAAAATAGTAAATCGAGTCATCCTGGGAGACTGAGGGATGCTATGAATGCAGGACTCCCTCCGGAACAAGCTGGATCCAGGGAATGTAAATCATGTGCAGATCAACTTTCAGCGCTACGTATCATCATCGAACAGAGCATGGAATGGCAGTCAAACCTCTGCCTCAACATCATTGACTTTGAAAAGGTGTCCGACAGCGTTGACCGTAAATTAATTTGAAAACTTCTTCAACACTACGAAGTACGCGAAATCTTTATCAACCTCATTCAACGACTACGTGACAATGTCACATGTCAAGTGACCCATAACGGAAAACTCAGTGAAGCGTTTGAAGTGGAGATAGGAGTAAGACAAGGCTGCCTATTATCACCGATGATATTCCTAATTGTGGTGGATTGAATTATGATGGATACTGTATGAATATTTGGACTTCGCTGACGATTTAGGTCTAATATCACACAAACTCGAAGACTTACAGATGGAAACCAACAAGCTAGCAGAAGAAGCAGTAGAGGCAGGACATCAACTAAACATGGGGAAGACGCAGACGATAAAAAGAACAAGCAATAATCACCACCAATGGGATAAATCTAAAGGAAGACACTTTCGCGTATCTAGGTAGCATTGTTTCAACTAAAGGTGCCACGGAGAGAAATATCAAAGCATGTATGGAAAAGCAAAACAGATATTCAATACTGTGAAATCAATCTGGAAGTCTACTGCAATCAGTTTATAACAAACAAGACTTGGATTTTTGAAACTAATATCAACTCACTACGTCTACATGGATCAGAGACTTGGCGCGTCATGAAAAGCATTTCCAAAAGGTTGCAGACGTTTATCGGCGCCTGTCTTCACTCGGGAACAAAGATTAGATGTCCGAAAATAGTAAGCAACAAAGAAATTTACTATCAAAGCAACCAAAAACATATCCCCGAGTAAATATGCTGACGGGGATGGAAATGGACTGAACATACTCTGAGAAAACCATTGAGTGATAGATATTGCGCAACAGGATCTCCCGTGGAACCTGAATGGCAAACGGCGAGTTGAGAGCACGAAGGTGACATGTAGGAGATTGTGTGAGTAGGAAATGAGAGTTCATCAGTAGTTATGGTTCTACACAAAGAGGACTGCAGAAAACAGGATGAAATGGAGATGTGCCATTGAAGCCTGAAGTCCCACTCAGAACCCGAAGGAATAATGGAAATATTGAGGTGAAGCATAGTGTGGCTATTGAAATTGGGAGATTACACTAGGCTAGCTGTCTTCGGCCAAATGCATTCTATCTCCCGTGTTAAGTGGTACAATATACTGACAGATATTTGAGGTGAAGCTTAGAGTTAGGTAAGAATATCAAGTCAATCGATTAGGCTGTGAAGAAATATCGATTGAGATGGCTTGGACACGTGTCATGTATGCTGAGCCTCCGCCTTCCTCGGAGACCGATGTTAGCTGACATAGGATTAGGTTGGAAAAGAGTTAGGAGTGGTCAAGTCAAAATGTGACATTAGTCCATGAAGTCATTGACAGTTGATTTAGACTACATAGGGGGATGTAGGCTGGCTGATGGGGGAGGGGTCCTCGTGATGCTAAGATCCAGTGGTTGAAGACTATTGCTAATATGGCTCTAAGCCACTCCTAGTAGCGCAAATCAATTCACCCCCTGTGATACCCTATATCCATTAAACCATAATGTTTCGCCATGTTACTATTCCTTTCCGCTCATATTTTTGCTTATAATTATAGTGCTTTTAAATTCCTTTCTCCCTCCTTTGTGTGGTATTTGGAGTGTAGCAACTTGAACTGCTGCCGTTTTGTGCAAAGTTCTATGTTGAAACTCAGTCAGTCATGAACACCTTACCGCTGACCACGGACAGTTGCCAGGTAAGTTGGGATTTAGATGTTTTGAAGTAAACGTTGTCTAACACTTTCTCCCCATTATGAAGGTAGGATCGTTCACTTGTTAGTGCTTCGAGAGGAACATGTTACCGATTTTACATACATAGTCGCCAGCAGAACGACTTCATTTCGAACCCTAGTCCGCAGCACATTGCAAGCAGCTTACACCATGATGATAATTGGTTTTCTCTAACCGCTGTCCAAACGAATGTTCCGGGATAGTAAGAACTGCAGAACAGCCAGTGTGGCTCTTTGGGACACTGTGACATGAGGACCCTACCAGCGCATTAGGGTAATGGCTTTCAAGTAGGCACACTTTCCTATCATCAGGGTTCCCACCGTTGGCCATTATCCCCATGTCATTTAATTTTCGGAATGAATAGTTGGTCTGTTAGGCGGTACACTGATCGAACACGTCAAAGAATGGTAGAAATATTATGCAACTTGGAAGGTCCAGCTACAGATTCTTGTGTTACGTTACAAGTCAAATCTCACTATATAAATAAAGTAATACCACTTCGGTATTCTGAAATGAAATAATGAGAGTTTAAACCCACGACCTACGGCTTAAACAGATGAGCCACTCTCACATGTAGGATGACATATTACCATCAATAAAGTAACTGGTTTTGATTGCCGATATCACTCGCTTTCGGACAGGTGTGTGGAAACTGAAAACTGTGAAAACGTGTTTACTTTTCAATTAAGTCCTTTTGGGAGCCCATATAACCTCGGTGTGACTGTACCCGTAGGCCTGATTACTCCATATAACCCTTGTAGGATAACTGTTGTTCAGGCCTTTTTAATGACTCAGTTCGTTGTTTCACGATCTTTATAGTTAGGTCAGTAGAAGTTAAATTTCTTTTTTTCCAATTTTCGACAATAATTCGATATGCTATTCGTCTAATCTACGTATTCCGTCTTATTCATGATTAGTAATCTAGAACCTTCATCCGGTTTGGTAATTATTAAATTCTCTTTCTTCCGTAGCTTATTTAAGACTTCCCTTTGTTTCCTGTTTGTTTTTTATATATTTATAGCAACGATCGACGAGAGTTGACTTAAGTCTTCCAATGATAAATGTATCAAATCTTCAATCTGCGTATGGAGGTTATCAAACTGAAATGCTTATCGATTTTATTGATTCTAACACGATCATCACAAAACTTAGCTCTAAGAGATAATACGTGCAAATCTGTTTCCTCGAGGACAGCATCCGAAAAATTATAAACGTACCTACCAAGGCTTGAAGGAAATTGCGTTTCGGGGAATTCGGCTTCTAGGACTTTATGATAATTTGCCACTTTTTTTTCTTTCCCTTTACCGGCAATTTGATTTACATAGTCCAGAAAAGGTTTCTTTGAGTGCTATGGGAGTTCATCCACAGCATAGAATCTTTCTGCACTTTCTTTGATACTACATGATTTCAGCGAATAAATCTGATTTAGTGCATAGCGTTTGAAGAGAGAGTTCAAAACACGTTTCTGTTTTCTATAGGAATTTTATAACTTCAAGCAGAAGTGGTTTTGGAGGCATGTAAAATTAATGACTTTAACGACAAGACTTTATTTTTCAAAGAATAGTATATGTACATATTTCAAATTTGTTAAGGGAAATAACTGTATGGAGCATATATTTATTTATTTTTGATTTACAGCTTGATTCCACACTGTATTTTTGGTACAAGCATGGAATTTTCAGCATGAATACCGGTAGCCCAAATTATGCAGGCCGACCATAGATATCAGGTGTACGTCTGCAGGGGATCGAACCTCGGACCATGTGCATGGTCGGCGAGAGACCTAACCACTGTGCTACCGACGCATATATCTGTCTGTCTGTCTGTTTTCGACATAAAACTTTGCACAAATATGCGACAGTTCAAGTCGCCACACTCCGTGTAGCACGCGAAGCAAGAGAAGAAAGTATAAGAAAGGCATAATAGAAACTGTGAGCAGAGGGGTGAGACAAAGGAGGAGTAATAACGAAGAAGAAAACAGTTTCATTGAAGATCATAAGTCACAAGGACGCATATATATATACATCTATAAGTGTAGGTTATGTACATTTGACAGTTTTTAATAAATTTTGACGTAAGTAACCATCTGTTTTACGTGATAAAGGCAAGACTAATTTTGATAACACATCCAAAATTCCGGAGCCAGTGAATGCATTCTCACAATTGCTGTTAGCCCATGTATCTGGAAATTCATTTGAATGACATACGTTGTTCTCATTAGACTCTTCATTCGAATTATTAACTGTTAAATGTTTAAGTAAATCACTCCCAAAGTATGTTCGACTAATCCCAGTGTTCCGTAATAATTCGAGACCACTAGAACGTTTCCGTAGTGGGATCTAGATTACAAACAAGCAAAAGAAAAAAAAAGTCACTCAATAATTCTGTAATTAAAAAGACTGAGGAAATTATTAAAAGAAAAACATTTACATTCTCTTTATCATCAAACGTCCGAAGTTAAGTGGCACTAAGACTGAACTATGAAGTTGTAAAAGCATTACTCTAAGAGAAGCCGTTGTAAATCAGCAATAAATAAATTCATATGAAGACCTCAACATCGCTTGGAACAGAATTTAGTGGGAATTTGTTACTCACTGGTCTAGAAAACCGATTCACAACCAGCACGTCGGCCACTGATGTTAGCTGAAATAAGATTTGGTTTGGAGAGTTAAGGATGGTCAAACAAAAACAACGTCAACTCATGAAGTCTTTAATTGTAGGTGTGAGCCACGTAATTAGGTTTACATATTATAGAATACTAAGAATCAATGGTTTGAAACTGTTATGTTGCTGCTGCTGAGTAGTTAATAGTAGTTTTCCCCGTCGCCAAATTGTTATGTACTCGTCGCTAAATTATTGTTATGGACTGGTCGAAAAACTAATAGTCCTGACGCAAGAAGGCGGAAATCAGAAGACCACTAGGTTTGCGATGATACTTCTATTTTCCAAACACCAGGAGAAGCAAAAGTGGTATCACACCAAAAGTAAGTAAGTAAGTAAGTGTAATCACAAGATTGTGAGAACGAAATATATATATATATATATATATGAAATGTTCAGACAAAGGTGTGAACAATCATTAGACAGTCTTAACATGAATGGCTAATTATAATGAAGTATCGATCCATATATACATAGCGAAATATAGCAGACATGTCAACCACCACCATATATGGATATATGTCACCAAGCAACGGACTGTCAACAAACACTCATATTATATATAATATAAGGGGAATATATATTGTTAAAGGAGACAAGTTCATACAAGTGAAATGGTCACAGACTAAGCGAGCAAACAGAAAGAGAGATCAACATACACACACACACACATAAATATATATATGTGGATACATATCAGAAACTAAAAACAACAGATACACTCACTGTATCATTCTTCACATTTACAACGTCTTCACTAGTCTTTATTGTTCTCATATTTCATCTGATGTTAGGAAATATACAACTTTAACTGACCCACTGATTTGCGATTCGCAGATTTGACTTCTGTTCAGCCAGGCAATGTTAATAACCAGAATGATAGTTTAGACAAGATTTAAAGAACTCGGAGACCAGGTTTGTATGAATTATTTTACTGAGGTTTTCTTTTAAAAGTAATTTTTGTCCCGATTGATATTAGGGAACAGTGAAATGCGACTGTGACCTTAAATAAAACTGTGTGGAATCTACAGGTCATGCAGTAAACAGTTAAGTGATTATAAGTGTCACCAAATTTTTCAATAATACTTAATATAGGAGGTTTGATCAATTTCATATTACGCTAATAAGTCAACCATATTCTTAAATTGTGTTTTGGGCTCATAAACATTTTAAACCAATCTTCAGCCTATCGGTTCGCATTTAACAAAAAAAACATCACTGAGGGATAGAATGCCGTTTTAAACAGAAAATCACTGCATTTAATGACACAGTAGATTACTATTACTACTTTACTTAAAAGTACTATAGAAGGAGTAGATATTTTGCAACAATATGTACTGAGTGAAAAACAAAGCGATATTGTTTTTACTGACGTTTCGCTATTTAATGCTAATAGCTTTATCAAAGTATTACTAAGCGGGAATTTACAAAATCTCAGCATATATATAACAAAGAGTTAGGGGGTGAGAAAAATAGACGACTTAGTTCAACTTAAAAGGACATATTGAAAGTCAAAATAACAATGAAGATCACTAAACCAAATAACAAAGGTAATAGTACGTCTGTTATGATATGTTTACTAACTTGATCATTGTAACAAGCAATGTTAAACAGTCGTCTATTTATATATTACAAGCCATATCTATGAATCCTTTCAAAAATTGTTTAATGAACGAGAATCTCATTTTCATAATGTCACTAAAAGAAGACATACAAAAATTCTCGAAACTCGAAGAAAAGAAACAACCAAAGAAAACCTCCGCAAATGAAATGAAGAATATTAGAGCCATACATAACATGTAAGATAAAATACTAATCGAAAATACTACAGAAAGGTCTGAATTTCAATATCACTAGAAAGCCGTTATCGGTCCAGGAAATAGCACCTATGATCGAATCAGCTCTACAACAATTCACCAATGAAGAATCACAATCTGTTCGTCAAAATATATCACACATATTAATGACACAACGAAACATACCATCTAATCTCACCAAACAAGAATATGAAGCCTTAAGAAATTTGAACAAAGACAAAAGTATCGTTATAACGAAAGCCAACAAGGGAAACATCACTGTGATAATGAACAAAACAGACTATGAAAAGGAGGCAACTGAACAAATATCTGAAGGACCATACTTACTCATTCGAGAGAAGAAGAAGTCCGCCGAATTCAACAAAATAAAACTAAATACAAACAGACTACTTCAAGAAATGAAACCAAAAATTGGAAATTCGCTCTGGTTTACACTTAAACCAAAATCTTATATACCTTCAAGATTCTACGGTCAACCAAAGATACATAAACCCACAGTTCCATTAAGACCAGTGATAGATTTCACCAACTCACCAACATACAACCTTTCTAAATACTTACTCTCGGTGCTACAACCACTACAAAAGGACACTCAAAATATTGTAAGAAACTCATATTATTTCAAATCCCAAATAGAACACCGATAAATTGATAAGGAAGACATTATGGTAGGCTATGATATTAACTCATTACTGAGAGTCTTTATATCATCTCCAGTCTACTAGAATCAGATACAACGCTATTACAAAGATGTCCACTGGACACCAGTGGCTCAATGGTCTACGAGCTCGCCTTGTAACCAGAAGGTCCTGGGTTCGAATCCCGGTGGGTGCGTACTGCTGAGGAGTCCCAAACTAGGACGAAACGGCTGTCCAGTACTCCCAGGTTTTCCAGTGGTTCTCTAACTGATGTCAGCTCATGATTAAATCCTCCATGCAAATAATTAAAAGCTTGAAATTCTGTCTAGAAAGTAATTATTTTACATTTAAAGGGAGTTTGTGTAGATAGAAAAATGGTGCTGCTATGGGTTCACCAGTCTTCCCAATAGTCGCTGACCTTTTCGTGAATAGATTCAAAAATAACATTTTTTCAAGCATACTCACTCGTAAAATATGGTTAAGATATGTGGATGATACTTTTGTAGTACTAAAACGAGATCTACACAATTCATTCCTGGAGAAAATAAACTGTGTATCTCCCAAAATCCAGTTTACTTCGGGAGCAGAATCAGACGTCGGTGAACTACCGTTTCTAGACTACCTAGTTAAGAGGAGAGAAAATGGACATTTTAGTATACCCATATTCAGGAAGAAAACCCACTCCAATAAATATTTAGGCTTCAAATCATCACACCCCATCAGCGCAAAGATTTCAGTTGTTTCAAGTCTTCTTAAACGAGCACACTCTCTGATTACGGATGAGAAAGAAAAAGAAATATCAAACATTACTGAAACTCTCAAGCAAAACAACTACCCAAGGAACTTCATCAACAAAATCAACACAGACATTAAGTATGGCCGAAAACGTATTTGTCATTCCATATAGAGCAGAGACGTCAGACGATATCAGAAGAGTACTCAATCAGCTCGACATCAGAATTTTCTTCAAAACATCAGACACACTTCAAAGCAACCTTGTCCATATAAAAGATCAATCCCAAAAGATTCTCTATCTAATTGTGTCTATAAAATAAAATGCTTGGAATGTGATGCGATCTACATCAGACAAACATCTCGCGAAATCAAAATCAGAAGAAATGAACACCGTAGAGCATCTGTTTGACCACTGAGAAATCCAATTGAACCAGAAAAACTTGAAAAATCATCAGCCATAGCCTGTCTACATGCTATTGAATCAGGCCACAAAATTGATTTTGACAATACTGAAATAATTCAGAAAAACTTCAGAAATCACAAAGAACGTCTAATATCAGAAGCACTTCATATCAAATGGAATCCAAATTGCCTGAATGGGAATGATGGATTAGAACAGACCCTGACTTAATTACAACACCTCCCCTTCCCTCGCCAACGAAGTGACAAAATCAACACGAATGTGATAAGCAAGTTCACTATGTAAACACACTACTTTTATAATGTCACACACTGATCAAATCTAACAATCTACACTTGGTTTTGCTATCTTCACCAATTGACCAACTTGACAACGAAAAGTAACCCCAGACTGATCAATGATGATCAACTTAGTAAACTTTGTTTTGATATCATGACAGATGTACCATTAACTTTGTTATTTGGTTTAGGGATCTTCATTGTTATTTTGACTTTCAATATGTCCTTTTAAGTTGAACTAAGTCGTCTATTTTTCTCACCCCCTAACTCTTTGTTATATATATGCTGAGATTTTGTAAATTCCCGCTTAGTAATACTTTGATAAAGCTATTAGCATTAAATAGCGAAACGTCAGTAAAAACAATATCGTTTTGTTTTTCATTCATTGGAAAATACAAAAAGCCTTTATTATAATGAATATCATATATCGAAGGCCCAATTTTTTTCAAGCTGTTAAGAGTGAACTTGGTTTGGACATATATAATATATACTGAAAATTTTGCGTTGTATACTTCTTCTTAAAAGAAAGTACAAAGGATACGACTAAGCACAAGTCCAATGCCTTTCAGTCTCCAGTGGATTTCCAGTCCAAGTCAGTCAGAACAACATATTCGAACAGGTACCTTTTTTCATATACTACTTCAAAAGTTTACAAGAAAATTGATTTAGAATAATGAAGACAGAGAAACCTCTATAACTAGGAATATTAAGGAATTGCCTTCAAAATATGCTTACAATATCCCGATGCCCTATGCCAGAGATATAAGCTCCAACACATTGAACATAGTCTTGTTCATCTAATTTACTGTCTACTGAAATTGATTTTTGCGCAGCTGATTCGACCAATTCTTGCCACAGTGTATATAAATTATCATCCAACTTTGGTGATCCTAACAAATTGATTTCAGACTGATCAATTTCATTTGCTGAATGCTCTCCTTCAAACTCAATAGGATCACTTAATTCGTTTACATCCCAATTTTCTGGACCTGACATTTGTTGTCTGATTTGCGTCGACAAGGTCCGCCAGCAAGTAACGCATACATTTGAAAGGGCCGCTTCGTAATTACTCTTTCAACATTAATTGCGAAGTCTCGTAGACCACATAAACCGTACCTTTTACCTCTAAGTTTGATATAAAGATATGCTTCTTAAGGTTCACTGAGAATTGCTGCAGCAAATCAGCTCTGCTTCACAATATTTTTTATATTTTTTATTTACAGCTTCATTCCACACGGTATTTTGGTACAAGTATGGAATTTTCAGCGTGTGATATTGGTAGTCCAAATTTAGCAGGCCGACCATTCGATATCGATTGTGCGTTGGCTGGGGATCTAACCGCGGACCATTTCTATTTCCAAATGTTGAAAATCACACCATGCCATGTGGACTTTGAGATGTCTCTCTAAATTATAAATTCTACGGGAAATAAATAATGTTCTTAACAGGCAACGAAAAAAACAACTAATGCAGCCCAAATGGTGGTCCAGCAATGAGGAATTCTGTACCAAAGGGAGCTCTCAAGACCTGACAAAGGGCGCTGCCTTCATAATTTCTGCAGACTTAAGAGTTTCTGAATAACTTCAACGAACAGCGTGAGCCCGAGCGTAGCAAGAGCTGGGCATTAACGGTTTACGAGACGTGACTGACAAATATGACAAAATATAGCCTCAAAGATACATTTGACTTCATCGACTCAGTGAAGGATGTCAACGTGTATGAAAGAGAAATGATTTCACTAGATGTCGCCTCTCTATTCGCAAGTTTTCCCCTGACTGAGACAATATCCTTCATTTGTAATAACATAGAAACCAACAACATAGTAGTTCCTGTCCCCATAAACTACCTGAAGGAACCTCTTCTCAGATGCACGTTCAATATCCAGTTCAATTTCAATGAACAGTTCTATGTACAGAAAGATGGAGTAGCCATGGGGTCTCCTCTCGGTCCACTCCTAGCTGACTGTTTCATGGCGAGTCTTGAAAACAACATCCTTGATCCTTTGATAAGTCAACTGCACTTATACAAGAGATATGTGGATGATACGTTTATAATCTGTGATGAAAAATGTGATTTAGATTCTCTCCTGAAAACCTTCAACGCAGCGCATCCATCAATATGATTCACCCTAGAACGCGAATCGAACAACGCATTTCCATTCCTCAATGTATTACTCACCAGAAGGGACGACTGTACGATCCAAAGATCGATATACCGTAAGCCAACATGGACTGGACCGTTTATCAACTTCCAGAGCTTTGTTCCACTGACCCGAAGGAGAAACTTGGTACGTACATTGTGCTCAAGGATTAGAAAAATCTGCTTGGAAGACACGGTGGAGAAAGAATTAAATTTATTGCGTGAAACCCTACTAGAGAATGGGTATCCGCAAAGATTCATCGACAAAAACATCAAGGAGAAGCCCCCGGTGCCAAATATCACAAAGGTTCCTAAGAAGACTCTCTTCATGAACCTAGAATTCAAAGGTGACATCGGAGCGGAGATTCTCAGAAACCGCCTTTCTAAAAGTCTGAAGAAGACATTCCCAACAGCCACTCTACATATAACATTCTCCTGCAGACAGTTAATCCAGTCTAACGTTAAGGACAAGATACCGCCTTTGGCCACTTCAATGTGTATTTATCAATTCACTTGCTCGTGTGGAGCAAAGTATATCGGCCGTACGCAACGTCAAGTCCACAAAAGTATCCTGGAACACTTCCCAGCTTGGTTAGCCTGAGGAGAAAAGAATAATAGCAACAGCTCAATCCTCGAACACCTTGTTATCCATCCACATTATTCATACTCATTCAAAAAGTCCAATGGAAGCTAAAATGGTGAGAGAAAAAAGAAGACAAACAACAGCAAAGCAAAAGAAAGCAAGAGGAGTCCTTAAGGAGTGATTAATAAATGTATACTTATATACTCTGTCTAGTAACTATGGTTATTCTTGTTCATTAACTAACTGGTCCCGTTAAGAATAGCAGCAGCTCAATCCTCGAACACCTTGTTATCTCCGGACATCGAGCACCCCCACACGAATGCTTCACAGTGGTACACACAGTCCCTCAATATCGTACAAAAGGACTCCGGATACGACATCTGTACATAGCTGAGGCATTAGCTATTCGTGACATAAAACCGGACCTATGCATACAAAAACGATACATACATTCTCTAGCCTTACCATGGCCAGAGTAAATTTCTTACTATAATTTTTCTCCTCTCTTTTAATATGTAAGTTCACTATTATTATTATTACTGTTCTTAATACTTTTATTATTATTACTATTCCCACCATCCACATTTTATTACTACTCTATGACTGTTTATTAATAACATTGCTTTTTCACACAGATCCTATACAAAACTACTGTACAACCTTTCCACTAGTTCCTGTCCACTCTACACTAGCTTATTCATTAGTTATTATCTCACACTTATTAGGTTATGCCAACTTCTATCTCCTTTCTAACTTACAATTAGTCATCCCTTCTTACACCTCACACTATGTAGTAGAATTTTCAGGGACAAAGTTTACCAGTATCTGATTAGTCAAGAACTTATGTGTTTAATTATAATTACGATTGTACAGCTCATGAAAATGAATCGACGAAAAGAAAATTTTCTTCGCTGTTTGTGCCTTTTCTTATGAGTGAGATGAGTAGGCTCGTACTACTCACATCAATCGCTAGTATAAACTAGCCAGATCGATGTGATCTGAATCCCGGACAGCCGTTCCCAACGTTTGAGGCCGGGTTCATCGGTGGAATACCGTTTCTGACCTGGTTCTAGGAGCCAAATCATTCGAAACTACCTGGTGTCAATGTCCAGGTCTAACTACGCTGGACTTCACACTCTCCTTAGAAGATTTTCGGGAACTATGCTCATTGACTAACGCATGAAAAACCAGAACAAAAATTGGCGACTCAAGAACCCTTTATTCTTGCACCAATGCAGAGCCAACCATTAGGTTATTGTGCACAAAGCCTGATAATAAATATCATAACACTAAATCACAATAATACTTCTGATAGTATTTCTCCGTCTTCCGACGAGCAGCGAACGATGATTCGATGACTTCCGCCAAAATATAGAGTTGGATTTGAGCAAACAACCATGAATTCATCGTTCAATCTTCAACTACATTGACACTCCCCGGCAAAAAAGGGATCCAACCCCTTTTTTCCATCACGACCAATACACGTTGAGGTGGATGCCATTGCGAGAACCTGGGCCACACGGACAAAGCTGAAATGGAAAACAAACAGAAAAGCCAACACACCGCAGACATACCCACAGCACAATCACACTCATCGGCGACGACCTACGCCTTCCAGTTAAAGGCATCCTCTTGACATCTTGCAGCACAGTCGTCACTTGCTAGAATGACTCTTGCAGAATGCAACGTGACCATAGCAGCACCTCACGATACTCTTCACACATCCACTTATCTACTCACTACCAATTACCACTCCAATCGCCTGTCACTCATTCTGCCTCAGTCCTAGTAACGGTGACGTATGCAGGTCTCATTCGTCTACACTCTCGCTCCCCGGCGTGTGGGACCACAGCCTGAATAGAAACATTCATTCTCAATCATTGATTCCACAGCTAATCCTTATCTCCGTGTGCCTGTCATTCTCGGCACTAGCCTCTCCGGCGTACGCGACCCACCTGCTGTCTTTGACATCAATCAATTCATTCACGGATGTAGAAGACTAGAAACAACTTCAAAAGTAAGCACGACGAAAAATTTAGCGAAATTATGCATACGAACAAGGTCCGAAAACAACAAGTAGACATAGCGAAACAAAAACACCAACTGACACGACACACCACACGTATATACGAACGTTACACATAACCTCGAAGATCATGTCTTGATGGAATTCCTTTGAAGAACCGCAGGACTTACACCAGTAGGCCTGCAACCCTTCTCAGGTTGACGATTGTAAGTTTTAGAATTTCCGGACGCAATCAAGATTAACCAACAATTACATTAATTGGAACCCGCTCAATTACTTAACACAAACATATGTACAATCAATGCATCAAATGTTGTGGATTCTGCCATGACGAACTACCCTTGAAGAACAGTGGGAGTTACAGCAGTACGCCTACATTCCTTCTCAGGATGATGATACGAGTGGAAGTCGTCCGGACACAAACAAAGTTGTGAACACATAGATGAGAGATGATAACAATTCAGTAAATACAACATGAACATATGTACAAAATAACACACCAAGTACGATGGACTGAGCTTCGATGTACTTCTCGTGAAGAATTGTAGGACTTACAGCAGTAAGCCTACAACCCTTCTCAGGTTGACGCCCTTAAGTAGGAAAACCATCGCAGAGTTCATTTGGTGACCTTCTTCCATCATCTATATCCTCAACTCTAAACGGTAACACGCCCATGCCATTGTATCTTGGAGTGTTGATGACTAACAAACATACGGCGTATCTGACCAACCAAGCGTAGGTACAGAGTAATTTACACCAACGATGATAACACTCAAATAGTATCTTGAAACTTGGAATGCCTTTATTCGTGCAAGTCAGTTTAACAATCACATTCTCGTACACAGTTGGCTTATCCTCACTAAACAGACCATTGACATTCGTCCTTTCAAAAGGACTGATACTAGCATAGTCACAGCACAAGGCACACGAACTCATGGACGTCACCTTCAATGTGGATGACAACGCCAACGGTGACTGACTGATACCAGATGATGAACTTAGCGGTGCATCAGAAACTGCCGCTGTTCGACCTTTAGAAGGTTGTCTAACCGCAAGATCACTACCACTGCTATCCTTTAGTATTAGCTCCTGTTCAGCTTTAACATCTGTCGATTGGTGGGCTTTCGATTTCTTTCATTTCGTTAAGCTATACGATATTTTAATGGTTTACAATCCAGAGTATTACCAGCAGTGCAGTAACCAAAGCCGATTTGCAGCCGAAGTGAAACTGATCAAGGACACAAAGATGAAGAGAATAAGTAAGGCAATAAATGAATGCGATTATCCAGTTACATCATAAAGATGAAATGAAACTTGGAAGAGTTGAGGTGAAAGATTTAGAACTTACTAAAGTGCCAAAGAGTTGGTAAGAGTGTACTTATGCACACATAATTCCAGTTTCACTCTTCGGATAGTCACAGCTGCAGAGATTCCAAGAAGTCATGAATTGCTTTGTTTGTTCACTGCCTTTAAATATCTTACTGTACTGAATTGGTGACTTATAACAACCGGGTGCCGAACTCTGGTCCTGTTAAGTGACGCTGAACCCCTGAGACGTGGATTCCTAGGCACATGTTCAAAAATCCTTGTAGATAACCGTCTCTCCATTCTCCCCACGCAAATGCCAGCGTATGGTCTAGTTTGAACAGTATAATCGAACAGGTGATATTATATATGAGGACCAGTTCGGCAGCTGAATATGTCATTGATAGTGCAACATTTGTCTAACCGGGCGATTCTCCAAGTTCATCACCCTTCAATTGCAGTTTAAGGAGAACTGGTTTCTTCTCGACAGTACTACATTCTGCTTTCTTCTTGTTACTTTTGCTTTCCCTAGGAATTGTTCGATGTATCAAATGTTCCCTAAACATTTGCAGATGGGATCGCCTTGTTCTTCTTACTGAAGCGAAGCTACTGACATTCGGGCGACAACCACCCCGAAGTCGTTTCATGGTGAATGATCCATCCTACCTTTCCGTCTTCTGCACACTTCATGCATAAGTTAGGGTGTAAATGATCATTAAATTTTGAACGGTCCTATGCAAAACGGCCATGTACACATAGGTGGTTCACGAGACACCATAGGTAACGCGACAATACGTTAGGTGACGATGATGCTTAGGTGAGCATCTATGGCTTAATAAGTCTGCAGAAATTATGAAGGCAGCGCCCTTTGTCAGGTCTTGAGAGCTCCCTTTGGTACAGAATTCCTCATTGCTGGACCACCATTTGGGCTGCATTAGTTGTTTTTTTCGTTGCCTGTTAAGAACATTATTTATTTCCCGTAGAATTTATAATTTAGAGAGACATCTCAAAGTCCACATGGCATGGTGTGATTTTCAACATTTGGAAATAGAAATGGTCCGCGGTTAGATCCCCAGCCAACGCACAATCGATATCGAATGGTCGGCCTGCTAAATTTGGACTACCAATATCACACGCTGAAAATTCCATACTTGTACCAAAATACCGTGTGGAATGAAGCTGTAAATAAAAAATATAAAAAATATTGTGAAGCAGAGCTGATTTGCTGCAGCAATTCTCAGTGAACCTTAAGAAGCATATCTTTATATCAAACTTAGAGGTAAAAGGTACGGTTTATGTGGTCTACGAGACTTCGCAATTAATGTTGAAAGAGTAATTACGAAGCGGCCCTTTCAAATGTATGCGTTACTTGCTGGCGCCTGTGAGTTTTCTGTCCTTGACTTTCAACCTTGTAGGCATGCGTTTTGTTGTTGGCCTTTAATTTTTGAATTCATTGCGCTACCTGAATCTGAACAAGTTTTCTGTTTTAAGATGTAATCAGTGTATTTAGTATCAATGCTCATAACTGCAGTTATGAGCACCTATTATTATTATTATTATTATTATTGTATCCTTTAGTTCCCAGAGGAACATAGGGCTTCAGCTGCGCACCTCCATTGACTTCGGTTTTCTGACAACTTTTTCACCCTGCTCCAGGTCTGTCCACATGCTTTCATCTCCTCGCATGACCTCCTCCAAGTCACCCTTGGACGACCAACTCGCCGCCTCCCTTTCGGGTTCCACTCGAGCAATGGCTTGTCTAGTGATGTCACTTGATGGTTTCCTCAGCGTATGGCCAATCCATCTCCATTTCTTTCTGCCTATTTGTTTCACAATCGGTTCCTGATTGGTTCGCTCATTGCCAGAGATCCCTGTTGCTGATCTTTTCTGGCCATCTGATCTTGAGTATTGAGCGGAGACAGTTGTTAATGAAGGTTTGAAGTTTGTTTGAGATGCTCTTTATGACTCGCCAAGTCTCTGATCCGTATAGTAGCACTGACTTCACATTGGAGTTGAAAATCCGGATCTTATTTTTGATGCTGATTGCTGTTGACCTCCACACAGATTTGAGAGTAATGAAAGCTTGTCTTGCTTTTCCGATTCTGGCTTTGATGTCCTCGTCAGTTCCGCCTGTAGTTGAGACGATGCTTCCCAGGTAGGTGAAGGAGGTTGTTTCTTTCAGGTTCTTCCCCCTTATGCTGATTGTTGTCTGTTGTTGTTGCTGTTGATGTTGGCTAGGAATCTTCATCATCTCTGTTTTATCTATGTTCACGTGAAGTCCTATCTTTGATGCTTCTTCTGCCAACTTGTTACTTTTCACTTGCATATCTTCCAGTTTATGGGAAATCAGACATATATCATCGGCGAAATCCAGATCCTCCAAGTCTTTTGTGTCAGTCCATTTTATGCCTGTTCCCTCGTTGGTTGCCGTTGTCTGTCGCATTATCCAATCAATTGCAATCAGGAAGATCATTGGTGATAGTAGACAGCCTTGCCTCACTCCCGTCCTCACTTCGAAGGCTTCCGTAAGTTTCCCGTTGTGGATTACTTGGCATGCAGCATTGTCGTATAACTGTTGGATGAGGTGTATAATTGTCGATGGGACCCCGTAGTAACGAAGTAGTTTCCAAATGACCTCTCGATCGACGCTGTCGAAGGCCTTTTCAAAGTCGATGAAGTTGAGATAGAGAGGTGACTGCCATTCGAAGCTTTGTTTAATGATGATCCGTAGAGTGGCGATTTGATCAATACATGATTTGTTTCTCCTGAATCCAGCCTGTTCCGGACGAAGTTTTTCATCTAGGGCTTGTTTGATTCTCTCCAGGATGATGCGACTTAGTATCTTGCTTGGAATGGACAGAAGCATAATTCCACGCCAGTTTTTACATTGACTTAAGTCTCCTTTCTTTGGAAGTTTGAATAAGTAACTGTTCTTCCAATCCTCGGGTACTTTGCCCTCTTTCCACACCTTCTCCAGCAGTGGTGTCATCAAGTCCGCTGTTGTCTCTGGGTCTATTTTCAAGGTCTCTGCTGGGATTCCATCTGGTCCCGGTGTTTTCCCGGCTTTAAGCATCTTGATTGCATTCAGGACTTCTGATTTCGTCGGGGGGTCAGTGTTCACTGGTAGTTCTGCTTCCGTTGTTGGTATTGCTGGACGTGTTGTAGGTGGCGGACGATTTAGAAGTCTTTTGAAGTGTTCAACTGATATGTATCCACATATATATATTTATGTGTGTGTGTGCATGTTGGTCTCTCTTTTTGTTTGCTCGGTTAGTCTGTGACCACTTCACTTGTATGGACTTGTCTCCTTTAATAATGTGTATTCTCCTTATATTATATTATATATAATATGAGTGTTTGTTGACAGTCCGTAGCTTGGTGACATATATCCATATATGTTTGTTGGCATGTCTGCTATATTCGCTATGTATAATTGGATCGACACTCCATTATAATTAGCCATTCATGTTAAGACTGTCTAATGATTTTTCCCACGCTTGTCTGAATTATTCATATATATTCGCATTTACAATTTGTGTGAACTACTTTACTTTACAACTACTTGACTTGCTTACCACTTTGGTGTGAGACCATTCATTTTCGTCTCCTTGTGTTTGGACAATAGAAGTATCATCGCAAACCTAGTGGTCTTCTGATTTCCGCCTTCTCGCGTCAGGACTATTAATTTCTCGACCAGTCCATAACAACTTAGCGACGAGTACATAACAATTTGGCGACGGGGAAAACTACTATTAACCACACAGCAGCAACAACATAACAATTTACTATGGATTATTCTAAATTGGAATTATTGTTTGAACAACAATTGAAATTAATGGAAATGTTCGTCAACCAACAGACTGGTCCAGCTCCACCTTCAAGCAATCCCAATCATACCATGCTACCATCTGTCGACGGCATTGTGAACAGCATTTCACAGTTCAATTATGACCCAGAGGCTAATGTCACTTTTGACACATGGTATCAACGTTATGAGGATTTATTCACTGTTGATCTCGCCTCACAAGACGATGCCTGGAAGGTGCGAGTTTTGCTACGTAAATTGGGTCCGGCAGAATATGAACGGTACTGCAACCTAATTTTACCACAGAAACCACGTGACAATTGTTTCGATGATACAATAAAGTTGCTGCGTGAACATTTCGGAGACCACTCCTCATTATTCAGTATACGTTATCGTTGCCTCAAGCTGGCAATGAATGAAAATGATGATTTTCTTACTCACGTTGGCACAGTCAACCGAGAATGTGAGAGATTTCGACTCAGGTCCTTAACAGATGATCAGTTCAAAGCCTTGATTCTCATATGCAGTCTCCAATCTCCTCGTTTCACAGATATCCGAACTCGACTGCTCAATCAGCTAGAACAAAATCCCAAGTTAACATTACATGACATAGCTGATGAATATCAACGGCTGATTAATCTGCAGAAAGACACACACCTGGTCGAATCAACACCTTCGAGAAGCTCTGATATTCGTGCATTACGAAAGAGCAAAAATCTCTCATCATCCACTCCTGACCCACCTACTTCTCTAATGTCCCGCGGAAATCTACACATACTCGTCCAACTTCACAAAATACTGCAAAGAAGACCCCACCATCACCATGCTGGCATTGTGGCGCGTGGCACTTTGTAAAGTCTTGCCCATACAAAAATCATCGTTGCAGCAAGTGCAAAATCATCGGTCATAAAAATGGGTTTTGTCAGCCACGCCAACTCAGATATCATAATCCAGCAAAAGCTCAACAAAATGTCGGTCCTAAATCTCCAAAAAGATCACTGAGTCTACGTGCAACCTGTCAAGTCACAACACCAGCTATGCGGAAATATATTGACCTTCAGATGAATGGTCATGATACTCGTCTGCAGCTAGATACTGCCTCTGATATTACTGTTATATCAGAGAAACTTTGGAATTATATTGGCAGACCACCTATCACCAATACTTCCCAGTCTCTTCTCAGCGCCTGTGGTGGGCGGCTCAAACTAATTGGTGAACTCAAATGTTCTGTTTCCTTCCGCAATACCAAATTCACAGGAATTTGTTACGTCACGAAGAATGATTTAAATCTTTTGGGACTTGATTGGTTCGATCGTTTGCATCTGGCTGATGTCCCACTAAATTCTCTACGCAATACAGTGAAGAAGCATAAAATGCTAGACAATTCCGGACGGAGCCGAAGCCGCAAACCCAACAATCAGACGAAACGACAGGCGTCAACAACAAGCCCAAAGGTCCCAGATAAACCCCCAGGTAAACATCCTACTAATCATTCATCTTCTCAAAAGGGGAGGTGATATGTATCCACATATATATATTTATGTGTGTGTGTGCATGTTGGTCTCTCTTTCTGTTTGCTCGGTTAGTCTGTGACCACTTCACTTGTATGGACTTGTCTCCTTTAATAATGTGTATTCTCCTTATATTATATTATATATAATATGAGTGTTTGTTGACAGTCCGTTGCTTGGTGACATATATCCATATATGTTTGTTGGCATGTCTGCTATATTCGCTATGTATAATTGGATCGACACTCCATTATAATTAGCCATTCATGTTAAGACTGTCTAATGATTTTTCCCACGCTTGTCTGAATTATTCATATATATTCGCATTTACAATTTGTGTGAACTACTTTACTTTACAACTACTTGACTTGCTTACCACTTTGGTGTGAGACCATTCATTTTCGTCTCCTTGTGTTTGGACAATAGAAGTATCATCGCAAACCTAGTGGTCTTCTGATTTCCGCCTTCTCGCGTCAGGACTATTAATTTCTCGACCAGTCCATAACAATAACTTAGCGACGAGTACATAACAATTTGGCGACGGGAAAACTAGTACATAACATCAACCCAGCGCTTTCTCTGTTCCACCTCTTTGGTGATTGACTTTCCATTGTCGTCCTTTATTGGCTTAATCTGTGTCGAACGTTTGCCCGAAAGGTTCCTAGTTGTTTGGTAGAGTGTGGCGAGGTCTCCTTTGCCTGCAGCTTGTTCTGCTTCGTTTGCCATGGTTTCACCTATTAGGCATGCCTAATTAGGTAGCTGAATTAATGCTCGCGAATTCTGAACTGATGCTTTTTTCTATGGTAACTAGCACTTAGTGTTTTTACGACACTGCTCGCCGTAATTTAGCTCCTACTTGGATTCTTCTCAGAATCATTTCAGCGTTTTTGGCTCCGATTCAGCTCTGAATCTGAATTCCACCACATCCCGCCTTTGGTCAGCGTCAAATAAAATCTTTGATTACTATCTGCATTAATGTAGAATTAATATTAATTCAGTGCACTAGGTTTCTTTAGGTATCAAACAGCATTATGGGCGTATAGTTTAGAATTAGTTTGGCATTGTAAACTTGGGTGTACAGTAATTGGCGAAGTTTAAAATGCACCCACCCTGATCACTTTACCACTGACGTCCAGCGACTAATGAAAATTAATGGGCGGTGAAACTCACAAAATTTAAAAAGATGACTACTGATTATAGATTTCTGAGATCTTTTTGTGTTTCCGATTCTGTTCTTTAACCTACCTCGGTCAACTCTAAAGAAAACATACCATACTCCGTCTGTCTGTCTGTCTGTTTTCGACATAGAACTTTGCACAAATGTGCGGAAGTTCAAGTTGCCACATTCCGTGTAACACGCGAAGCAAGAGAAGAAAGTACAAGAAAAGCATAATAGAAACAGTGAGCAGAGATGTGAGACAAAGGAGTAATAAAGAAAAACAAAACAGTTTCATTGGAGATCATAAGTCACAGGGAGTGGATGCATCTGCGCCACTGAGAACGGTTTTGAGCCATGTCACCAATTGTTTCCAGCCATAGATTTTTACCGTCCCGAAATGCACACGAAACATACCATACTCCGGGTCCAGCATGAACAACTAATCAGACTGTTGAACTTTTCAGATGATTGCATATATAGAAGTTGATTTATTTTGTCGAAAGCTTGTGAGGAACTGGGGTATATTTTAGTTGAACATTCAGTCTTCCTAGAACTCTTTAAGAAAGTCTAGAACAGATGTTTTGCTGTAGTCTGATATCACCCGTCCCTTTTTACTTCAGGAAAAATTTAATGCCAGTGCAGGACATAACTGGGCGAAGTGTAAGCATCACAGCCAATGTCAAGGTCTTTCAAAAGTTGATCATCAAGAACCGATTAGATACCAGGAATGTCTTGAAATGTCATTCCAAATCAAATCAAGTTTGCCTTTTTAAACCTGAAAAGGGTAGGTACAGTATTCCAGTTGTTTACGAAGAACTTTTTCTGCAAGTCTATACTGTTGGGTAGGGTTATGGCTTTTTAGGTTAGGGTTTAAGTTAGGGCTAGGATTATGGATAGAGTTAGGAATAGGTTGAAGAATAGTGTCGAAAATATCAAGGGATCCCAAATTAACATGACCCAAAGTCTCCGGAATAAATGGATATATTGCGCATGACATGATTTTTCCATAGATCGTCTGTTTTGTGACTGGAAGACATTCGTATTGCACGTAAGCTACAACGGTACAGTGAAATATCATGCTTGCCAAGTTTTTAGTGCATTTTTCAACGATTATGCTACTTTTTTGCATCTGTTGGTTGTTCGTCACTGTGGTTTTGGCTATGATAGCTTAGCTTTGGCCATAAATTTATTCCAGCTAGGTTTTATTGAATAAGTACGGTGACCTTACGTCTGTAATACTAAAATGTTTCCTCCTAGATCCATCAAAATCAGTACTCCAATATATTCAGTTTTTTTCATTAACATCAAGTGTTAGCAGTAATAATTTGTTACATGATGCGAGGAAGTATTAACCATCAAAGTCAGTGTTATTCAAGAACATCTGTAATGCCCTCTGTTCCTGTTGGCTTGCAGCTATGCTGTTTGTACTTCGCACATTTTGAACTCTGAAGAAAAGATTCTGGTTATCACTGCTAAACTTTGGTCTATAATTTTCGTTATTCCACTCACACATATAATCTGTGGTGCGGCTGCTCCTACCTCGGTGTGTTGGTCAGGGTTGCATAATGCGGTGAACCAACGAGTCACATCAACTGGAACTAACGTTCCTGCAGGTCGTACCATGCCAGGAAGTTTGTTTGGACGCCGATTAGACTAAAGGCAGTTACAGTCACAGTGTAAGTTGTTTACACTATGTTGCGGGTTTGTGAATAAAGTCATACTGCTTGGGAACAGGGATGCAACAGGACTAAGATGTTTCCTTCTGATGACCAGCACCCTAGCTATAATGCCTCTTCGCCCTGAAGAAATTAGGGTTAGAAAACGTCGACCTTGATCCGATCCATAGTCAGAGGTATGAACCTAATATGGATATCACTTCAAAGACCATCTCTAACAGGCCTCGTGTGAGCGGCCTCAAAAAGTTGTCCCCTGGGTTCTGCTGTCACTCGACGCTAGTGCTCCTTCTGTTTCAGGTACTCTGAGAAGAAATCAACTCATGGTGAGGGCAGCCGGATGGTAATGACTGCCCACACACTTCGATAAACACAAAGCTTTCCTGACCATCACTCGCTTTCACCTCCACTACTATCATCTTGCCTTCCTCTTCCCATTATTACTGTCCCAAAGCCAAGTCCCTCATCTAATTCTGCAACCATCAATACCGATGAAAGCCGGAAAATCATTATAATCTCTTAAAAATAATACTTCAACTTCGTATCGGATCATTAAACGTTAGACTCTTAGCTTCACTAGGCAAAACTCTGATTTAATGAACCATGGATGTGTTACATTTCGAAGACTTTCATACAAGGCCCAAGTGTTGTTGTTCGTCTAACCTGGCAAACAGGGTGAATCTTCGAAATTCACCTTATGGATATAAGGAAAGTGGTTCCGGACTCGGAGACGTAGGAACAGCATTGAGTGCTTAGGCAGAAAAACCCCTATTCGACTAGATCCCAGAGTGAATAGTAGTGTGTATGCTGTCTGGTTGTAAGAATACTTTAGAAAAGGGAAATATCGCGATACTCACGGATATCTTTTGGTAATCCCCGATTATATTCGAACAGACTGCAGCTCAGACGAAAAGAGGGACGAACTCTATAAAAAAACTAATTTGCTACTAAAAGCAAAACACCTGTGTATAATCGTCTTAACAGGCGACTTCAAGGAGGGAAGTTGTGTTAGTCTGAGAAGAGAGTTATTGTTTAGAGCAGAAATATTCGACATGCGATTCGCTATTGTTAAATGCTACACCAGTCCTACACTGATTGCTAGCTTAATAATAGTAAGTAGAATGCGCAGACTACTTCACTTATTTTGGAATTTCTACCAGTCCCAACGAACTTAAAGCTGACGAAATCTCAGCATGGATACAAAAGGCTGGTGTGGCATTTGCCAGTTTACATTATCTATGGCGTGGATGTGATATCTTCCTATCGATTGAAGCACATACGTACTGCGTGGTAGTTCGGTCTATCCTCCTTTACGTCTGTGGAATGTGGATATTAAAATTGGGAGATTACACTAGGCTAGCTGTCTTCGACCAAATGCGTTCTATCTCCCGTGTTAAGTGGTACAATATACTGACAGATATTTGAGGTGAAGCTTAGAGTTAGGTAAGAATATCAAGTCAATCGATTAGGCTGTGAAGAAATATCGATTGAGATGGCTTGGACACGTGTCATGTATGCTGAGCCTCCGCCTTCCTCGGAGACCGATGTTAGCTGACATAGGATTAGGTTGGAAAAGAGTTAGGAGTGGTCAAGTCAAAATGTGACATTAGTCCATGAAGTCATTGACAGTTGATTTAGACTACATAGGGGGATGTAGGCTGGCTGATGGGGGAGGGGTCCTCGTGATGCTAAGATCCAGTGGTTGAAGACTATTGCTAATATGGCTCTAAACCACTCCTAGTAGCGCAAATCAATTCACCCCCTGTGATACCCTATATCCATTAAACCATAATGTTTCGCCATGTTACTATTCCTTTCCGCTCATATTTTTGCTTATAATTATAGTGCTTTTAAATTCCTTTCTCCCTCCTTTGTGTGGTATTTGGAGTGTAGCAACTTGAACTGCTGCCGTTTTGTGCAAAGTCCTGTGTTGAAACAACTAATGGACTTAACCCTAACTCACTTCAGAGACTCATGGATTGACTTGCTACCGGGGAATAATCTTGTTGACTTAGAATATGCAGACGATATAGTCTTCCCTGCCAGGTGAGGAAGACGCTGACAAAATGCAGAGTTCTGAACACCTTAACAGGCAGCAATGCACGAATGTTTGGCATGCTGTTTGCTCCCGCCAAATGTAAGGTGATGTTACAGAACTGAACTGCATTAACTCCTAGCTTAGAAATAGGAAGTGGAGTGGTAGAGCATATTGACCGCTTCACTTATTTTGGAAGTTGCATCAGACCCAATGGGTTGATCTCTGACGAAATCTCAGCACGAACACAGAGGGATAGTTTCACATAAGCCAGTTTACGCCGTCTCTAGCGTAGACGCGATATCCGGCTATTGACCAAAGGGCGGGTGTACTGCTCCTCAGTCGGCTCCGTCATCCTCTATGGCTGCGAGACCTGGCCACTGAGATTGGAAGACATGAAAAGGCTGGTAGCTGTCTTTGATCATAGGTGTCTGCGTTCTATCTCCTGTGTGAAGTGGTATAATAGAGTGAGCAATATTGAGCTTAGGCATTGGTCGAGTGCTAGGTAAAGAGGGGAAACCAATCGATGAAGCTGTGAAGCTACATCGACTGAGATGGTTAGGACATGCGTTACGCATGCCTAGCCATCCATCGCCTTCCTCGACGGGGAATGTTAGCTGATATAGGGTCAGGTTGGAAAAGAGCCGGTGATGGTCAAACCAAAACATGAATTTATCAGTCAATGGAATCCACAACAGGCAGTTGAAGCCACGTAGAAATGTGTAGACTTGCTTCCTGGCTGGGGTCCTCGGGATGGTAAACACCAATGGCTGGAAACAATTGGTGATATGGCTCAAAATCGTTCTAAATGACTGGTGCAGATGCATCCACTCCCTGTGACTTTTAATACCCATCTTCGATATTACTTTTTTACCTCATATCTCTCTTCGCTCTCTCTACTTTGCGCTTCTTTTTTACTTTTTTCTTCTTTTTCTCTTGCATTGTGTTCTAAGTGAAGTGTGGCGACTCGAACTGCTGCATATCGGTGTAAAGTTCTATGTCGAAATCAGACAGACAGACTATGCTGAAACTCAGTCAGACGGTTTGAAGAGTTAAAATCGAAAGCTTACTGTTAAGATGTTTTTTGTCTCTTCTCACAAAAATAAATGTTTTGCTTATCAATCTAGACAAATATTGTTGTCGCAGTAATCGTGTTCTATAAGAATTACTGACATTGTAAGCTATTCATATTGTCGTATAGTATTATATTTTTGTACATTATCAGATTTATTGGGAGTTTTTTTGATAATCGCAATAATTTATCGTGCTTACTAATCGACATATATTGTAGGTGCTGAACATTCGTGAGATGCCCCGACAAACTGATTCTGTTTGTCCAGATGACCAACCGTCTGTCCATGAAACATCCAATTTGAAGGATGTTGAAAATACCTCAACCTCAGAATTAACGAAAAAGTCTAACCATTCGAAAAGAACTACAGTGAATGCTTCCTCAAGCGAAAAAGAAAGACATTCAAAAGCAAAGCATACAAAAAACCATGGTGGATCCTTAGGTCTTGGCGATTCCAAATTTCCCTCAGACGTAATCCAGTCGGATAGTGGAAGTAAAGGAGAATCGCTCGATAAGGAAGCTATACTTGACCAGTACAAACGTGACCGTATCAAGAAAAAGAGAAAACATTCAAAGAGTGAAACCAAACATGAAAAGCATAGCAAGCGTGATGAATTTAATTCTGAATTAACAGCGGATGCGTCACCTGTCAAAGAATCTCCTCGCAAACAGAAGCATCGAGATAAATCACATAGGCGAAGTAGTGCATCAAAGGCTTCAACAGCGGATGAAAAGCCTCATCGCTCTGCAAAACCAGTCGTTCGTGAGGACGGTAGTCGTAAGGTTGTATCAACTGATAGGGAGCAAAGCTATGAAGTGGATATGCGTGTGCATTCTGCTTATGAGTCTGTTCCAAACACACCATCATCAGCTTCTACATGTTCCTCAGATGCTTCAGAATCTTCATATAGCCAGTCGTCATATAGCCCCAGAAAGCATCATAAACGTCTGGTTCATGATGAGCATTCTAATGAAAAGTCATATAAACAGAAACACAATAAAAATAGTCGTTCTCCCTCAACGCATTTTAATCGTGATCGTAAAACTGACTCTTCACGGCTTACAAATAATCACCAAGATACTAAACTTGAAGGAAATTCTGCTACAGCGAAAAGAGCTCGTCACTCTGTCAGTTCACCTTCAAAGTCAAAGAAAAAAGATTCAGCTTCTTTAAGTTATGGGTATCGTCAATCAACACAGCGTCGCCATGTATCTCCACGTCGTAGATCTCGTTCGAAACGTCGCGCTTCATATAGGGAAAGAAGTAGCGATTCTGAAAGATACGAACCTCGAAAAACACATCGTTCAGATGAAAAAAAGTATATCCATTCACGGTCACATCCTTCTAAGAGGAAGTCTAGATACTATAGTCCTGATGACCGCCATGATATGCATAAACGTCGTTATCTAAAACGTCATGACCGTCATCCTGCACGTAACTCACATAGCACCAGAAGGCGCAGTAGCGGAAGTCATCAGTATGATTTACGTGAAGATGTTAACTCGTTATCACCATCGCCTAAAGGTTCAAGACGAGCTGATGCAAAAAGTGGATCTCGGCAGCATTCGACACGGCGGCAAGTAAGTAGCGTTATGATTAAATAAATAATTATGTACTACTGTGTACTTTACCCACTGAAACTACTCTTTTATGGAATTGTGGTCTACCATAATGTCGAGATTCTGCTCTTATGTCGATAAAGCCATTTAGGCTTCATAAAACAATGAAGTTAGGTTCCTTTATAATGTGGTTTTGATGAAAATGGATCACCAGTGTCTTAAGGTAGACAAACAGAGTAATGGCAAGTAGCTCAACTATCCAACGGATACCAACATCTTAGTTGAAAATGGACATCTTGTCAATAACATGGTGAAAATCACACAGCTGCTGCACACTTTGAGCAGGTCAGTTCCTTTAGCCAAATGTTTTCCCTTCAAAAGTCTTTAAACATGGTCGAGAAATATTTGATAACTGAACCAAAGTACGGGTCGTTCTAAATCTTGATCTTAGTGGTGTATAAAAATTGAAATTTTGTAACAGCTACAGACAGACCTATCTAATGAACCTGTGCTCTAAATCTGTGGGACTTGTGGCTATCCACGGTGCAACTAGTTTCTTAGGAAACGCACCTGTAGAAAGACAGACACATTTCAAACAAACAAAAATATGTTCAAATTTTAATGTTTCATTATTTTGACGATAGATTCACACAATAATGTTCACGTTGTTTAATTCAAAGATTTGATTTAAGTCACCTACACTGTCTTTATAATTTACGAGTGTAGCGCGCAACTATCCACTTTAAAAACACCGAAAATTGTACATCCCGACTTACCCTACGGTGGTCCGTAACCGGCGGTAAGTTTACTAATACGGAACGAAACCAAGAAACCAGTTCATACAGGCCGTGTGTAACTGGCCAGCAGCAAGCAGTTGTCCCTTGGGCTATGCGGTCACGCAACACTTTCTGTTTCAGGTATCCGAAGAAAAAGTCAGCTTTCACGATGTGTGCAGACGGGAAGTAACAACCGCTCACACACTTCCAAAAGTACACGAAGCTTTCCTGAATATCATTCTTCTTTACTCGCATCACCTTCCTCATTTTGCTTCTCTACTACAGTTAGCACTATTCCGCAGGCTAGTGAGTCTTCACTTTACTCTGTGATCACAAACAACGGTGAGAGCCATAGAAACACCCCCGACAGCCTCTTAAAGCCACGTCGCCAACTTCATATAGGAGCATTTAACGTCAGGACCCTCTGCCAAATTGGACAACAGGCATCACTAGTAAGAACTCTGGCATCTCGAGCCATGGATGTATGTTGTGTTTCAGAGACACGAATACAAAACCCGAGTGTGGTCATTCACTTAACCTCACCCGGCCAACAAGGTGGATCTGCAAAATTCACTTTAAGAGTGTCAGAAGACATCTCAGCTATTTCGCGAGGACTCGCAGGTTTAGGGACAGCTTTGAGTGTTAGGACAGAAAAGTCACTTCTTGACTGGATCCCAGTAGATAGTTATGGGCTGTCCGTCTGAATGGGCCCGTTGGAAGAAGGAAGGGCGGCGCTACCCATCGTTGCCTTTTCGTAGTCTCCGCTTACGCCCCAACCAACTGCAGTTCGGATGAACTAAAGGATGATTTTTACCTGAAACTGTCTAATTTGCTGCAAAAAGCAAAGCGTTCAAATATAGTTGTTTCAGCGGGCGACTTCAATATCCAAGTAGGGAAGTTGTGTCAAACTGAGAAGTATGTAGGTGGTACGTATGGAGTTCCCTGCCGACGAACCGATAACGGTGATCGTCTCCTATAGTTTTGCTCCGATAATCATCTGTTCCTAGTCACCACTAACTTTAGGCACGCATAGAGACATTGTGTAACCTGGCGACTTCCATCACCAAATCAACGCTGGACTCAGATAGACCACATAGCGACAGGGTATCGTTAGCAAGGGTTAGTACAAGATTGTCGCTCCTTTTGGAACACGTGTGTAGACTCCGATCACGCACGTTTATGCTTACGACTAAACGGACGTAAAAAACTGTTGGCAGCGAAGCAGTTACGCTCCCAACTAGATTAAGAAACTGACTCCCTATTTAAGTAAGAAACAAGTATCTGAGGTCGACAGCAGAACTCCTCCCGAAGAAGCCTGGTACAACATATAGTTAACTATAGACACAGCTGTAAAAGCTGTTAATAACCTGAAACCTAAAGCTTGTAAGATCCAGTGGACTTCTACTACCTCACCCGAACTGAATGACACAGACTGATTCCGGCGAGCTCCGAATATGATGAGGAGAGAAAGTAGCCCAAACACAAGCTAACAAGAAGTCTTTGCAACGGCTGTGAACAGTGGTGGGTGACTAAAGCGAAAGAGATGGAGAAGGCAACGGCAGTAGGTAACACCAAACAACTATTTAGACTTATCAGGGAAACAGGTGGTAAAAGACAAATGATAAGTGAAACAATCTCTGAGAAAAATGGCACCATAATTAGCTCCCAGAATACGCAACTGGAATGTTGGAAAGAACAGTTTGAGAAGCAGTTTAATTGGCCTACAGTCACACTCAACTTACCCAGAATCCAACACTTTCCTGAACGAGATATTAACACCGATCCTTCGACCCTTACTGCAGTTACAAAAGCTGATACTAGTCTGGAATGAATTAAAGCAATGGACCTGATGGAATGACTGTAGAGGTATTAAGTA